CAAAATCCGTTACGAAGAATGGTTCAAAAATCTGCACCTGTCAGATTGAACAGTTGACACCTGTCATTAGTAGTCTAAAATGTATTATCACCCGAACTTTAAATGTATGCAAAATTTCAGCAAAATCCGTTGCGAAGAAATGGTTCTAAAATCAGCACCTGTCACATTTGACAGTTGATACCTGTCATTAGTGCTCTAAAATATATTATCACCCGAACTTGAAGTGTATGCAAGATTTCAGCAAAATCTGTTGCAAAGAAATGGTTCAAAAATCTACACCTGTCAAATTTGACAGTTGACACCTGTCATTAGTAGTTCAAAATGTATTATTAACCGAACTTGAAGTGTATCCAAAATTTTAGCAAAATCCGTTGCGACGAAATGGTTCAAAAATTTGCACCTGTCACATTTGACAGTTGACACCTGTCATTAGTGGTCTAAAATGTATCATCACCCAAACTTGAAGTGTATGCAAAATTTCAGCAAAATCCGTTGCGAAAAAATAGTTCAAAAATGTGCACCTGTCACATTTGAGAGGTGATACCTATCATAAGTGATCTAAAATGGATTATCGCCCGAACTTGACAGTTGACATTTGTCATTAGTGGTCTGAAATGTATTATCACCCGAACTTGAAGTGTATGCAAAATTTTAACAAAATCCGTTGCGAAGAAATAGTTCAAAAATGTGCACCTGTCATATTTGACAGGTGATACCTGTCATTAGTGATCTAAAATGTATTATCACCCGAACTTGAAGTGTATGCGAAATTTCAGCAAAATCCGTTGCGAAGAAATGGTCCAAAAATCTGCACCTGTCAAATTTGACAGTTGATACCTGTCATTAGTGGTTCAAAATGTATTATCAACCGAACTTGAAGTGTATGCAAAATTTAAGCAAAATCCGTTGAAGCAAAATGGTTCAAAAATTTGCACCTGTCACATTTGACAGTTGACACCTGTCATTAGTAGTCTGAAATGTATTATCACACGAACTTGAAGTGTATGCAAAATTTCATCAAAATCCGTTCCGAAAAAATAATTCAAAAATCTGCACCTGTCAAATTTGACAGTTGAAACCTGTCATTAGTGGTTCAAGATGTATTATCAACTGAACTTGAAGTGTATGCAAAATTTTAGCAAAATCCGTTGCGACGAAATGGTTCAAAAATTTACACCTGTCACATTTGACAGTTGAAACCTGTCATTATTGGTCTGAAATGTATTATCACCCGAACTTGAAGTGCATGCAAAATTTTAGCAAAATCCGTTGCGAAAAAATAGTTTAGTTTTCTAAAATGTATTATCACCTAAAATTAAAATGTGAGCAAAATTTTAGCAAAATCCGTTACGAAGAATGGTTCAAAAATCTGTACCTGTCAGATTGAACAGTTGACACCTGTCATTAGTAGTCTAAAATGTATTATCACCCGAACTTTAAGTGTATGCAAAATTTCAGCCAAATCCGTTGCGAAGAAATGGTTCTAAAATCTGCACCTGTCACATTTGACAGGTGATACCTGTCATTAGTGATCTAAAATGTATTATCACTCGAACTTGAATTGTATGCAAAATTTCAGCAAAATCTGTTGCGAAGAAATGGTTCAAAAATCTGCACCTGTCAAATTTGACAGTTAATACCTGTCATTAGTGGTTCAAAATGTATTATCAACCGAACTTGAAGTGTATGCAAAATTTTAGGAAAATCCGTTGCGACGAAATGGTTAAAAAATTTGCACCTGTCACATTTGACAGTTGACACCTGTCATTAGTGGTCTGAAATGTATTATCACACGAACTTGAAGTGTATGCAAAATTTTATCAGAATCCATTGCGAAGAAATAGTTCAAAAATCTGCACCTGTCAAATTTGACAGTTGACACCTGTCATTAGTGGTTCAAAATGTATGATCAACTGAACTTGAAGTGTATGCAAAATTTTAGCGAAATCCGTTGTGACGAAATGGTTCAAAAATGTACACCTGTCACATTTGACAGTTGACACTTGTCATTATTGGTCTGAAATGTATTATCACCCGAACTTGAAGTGCATGCAAAATTTTAGCAAAATCCGTTGCAAAGAAATAGTTCAAAAATCTGCACCTGTCACATTTGACAGGGGATACCTGTCGTTAGTGATCTAAAATGTATTATCACCCGAACTTAAAGTGTATGCAAAATTTCAGCAAAATCCGTTGCGAAGAAATGGTTCAAAAATCTGCACCTGTCAAATTTGACAGTTGACACCTGTCATTAGTGGTCTAAAATGTATTATCACCCGAACTTGAGGTGTATGCAAAATTTCAACAAAATCTGTTGCGAAGAAATGATTCAAAAATTGAAAAATCTGCACCTGTCATAATTTGACAGTTAACACGAGTTTTCCGGAAAATTTGACCAATCCCATTGGATTCCTGAGGTTGCAAAACCCTTGAATATCAACTTACGAGAAAATTGTTCGGGCCGTTCTCAAGATCGCATGACTGAAAATACATATTCAGTAGAACTATGCGGTACGAGCGTAGCAAGATTGAAAAAAATAAGATTTTGAGGACATGAAATATCAGAAATTGATCCCGATAATAAGCTCCTGATGTAAGGAATATTAACATCAATGTTGCCAGATTTGCGGGCTTCATATAGTAGACGAAGTATCACCGGGCTTCCTAAAGTTGATTACACACATACATGTTTATACACATCGACCGACGCGCCCCCTGGTGTGAGATATGATGAACCCGGTGGTGTATAAGTGCAGATGTATTGCGACCTTAGGAAGCCCGCCCTTTTTTCGGCAAACGACTCAGGGAGCCATATCTGTTATTATAACAAAGATATACACTCTGTTTTTACGAAGCCCGGTGCGGGCTTCCCAAACCTGCAAACGGGCTTCGTATAGTCGGTTGATAGAAATTTTGGGCTCCATAAAGTTGGTTTACATATCTATATATATATATATATATATATATATATATATATATATATATATATATATATATATATATATATATATATATATATATATATATATATATATATATATATATATATATATATATATATATATATATATATATATATATATATATCACATCACATGATTAAAAATTCCGCCTAAATTATTAATCTTCGGTTAAATTCAAAGTTGGTGTCAAATGATAGCTTATGAAAATCTAAGACAGGAATGTAAAATCCGTTTTCCTCTATAATTAACCGTTTAGTTTTCATAGTCTGTCAAAGATACAAAAAAGTCAATTTTTAACTGTTAATATTTCCGAAACAGTTGAAAATAGGTATATGACATTATACATAAAATATGTCTAGAATTTTCCGCAGAATCCAGAATTGTCATAATATACAGGGATAGTCGTTTAAAAAAACATAACTTTGTGTCAATATTAGTTATTGGGCCACCCTGTATACTGGAAAATAATTTAGGAGTGTAGTACTCATGTTTATCTACAAGTTTTGTATTTAGTTTTTTCTCCGATCTCCGTTAGTGTAGGAGATATGGACCACCGCGCGCTTAATAACTCACCCTGTATATTTCATATTGTTTAAAGTTTTTGTTTCATTACTAATTTTTTTTCGGTCTGGCGTCCAAATATAAAAACAGCCATGTAAAAAGAATCCACTGCCTTCAAAGCCTTTCATTTCTGAACAGCTATATGTATAGAGGCAATAAAATGTTGGTAAAAGGTGTATGGTATGTTCCAGAGGTCTTTAAGCTAAGTACATCCAAAGAGTGTTGAATTCCCAAAAATGGCTTATACCAGTGGGATAAGTGCAACGTCAACTAATCGACATAATACACCTGCACCTTTCTACAACGGGACCTATTTGTTGCAGGCTTCTTCTCGACTTTTTCCCAATTTCGAATGCCAATTTACTTGTTGAAATGGAAAGTTGAGGCAAAATATTCAACGTTATTTTGCTGTTGAAGCCAATTTTAAGACTATTTAATTACCGACACGATAACACACAAATATTATAGAGATGAAATTCTCTATCAATGACATCTATCATGACTCCATCGTGATAATAACTGCTGTTGTTTCACTAAATCTTGTTTACAGGCATATAAGACAAACAGGTCTAGCACCTCAATTACACGGATTAAGCCACAACTTTTTGAGCCTATTTTTGATCCTCCTTATTTACCATAAATCCCCGATATTATTATTTTTTCCGCTAATAATTTTTTTTTATTACGTTCATACTGTTAACAGATAACAGATGGCTAATAATATAATCCAGTTTTTTATCATTTATTGAATTCTTTTGAGGTCAGACAAAATATGTCAGACATCAGCAATCGATTAATGCATATTTATCATTTATCATTATTTATAATAGCGATAATCAGGCTTATGATGTATCGTCTCCTGTTATTTTAACAGTTGTGTTATAGCTCAAAATCTATAACTGTCTCTATTTTTACGTGTAGAATAAAGAATGACAGATAACTTAACGTTGCTGTTAAAATAACAGAAAATGATAGGTACATACATCATAGGCCTGAATATCCTTTTATAATATAAAATAATAAAAATTAACCCATTTTTTTTTATATTATTCCTCGTTTGCAAACTATTATTCATATCAGCGACGCCTGTTAAAGTCTGCCTCCTCAATTTAGAGTGTCTGGCACGAAATAACGATTTACCACATCCAGCATGCAGGCACGAACAAACATAAAAATGCAGAGGGTATTTGCTGCAAATGCTTCCCAAGCAAACATTTTATGAACGGATTTCTGGCAGCTTGATTGAGAAAAATAGATCCAATTTCTGAAGAAAATTTGAATAAGTAATTGGATTTTTCCTGTTTGACATTGTTCCTGTATTTTACATTTTTATAAATTGTTTTCTGGAATATTGGAGAATCAAATTTATTTATGTACCTATACCTACCTATCTACATTATTTGAGAAATTATGAATATTGGAGTCTACTTGTATATTTTCAACAGTTAACATATTCAATTGAGAAAATTAACTCACCCAAAGGTCCATAACATTCCTCGCTAAACTTCTCTCCCAATATATGAAGCAACAATCCCATCATAGCTTGTGGAAATTCAGCCATCAAAAACAGTAGCAAAACTGCTAACAACATTTTCGTCGTTCTGTTGAACTGTTTCTCCTTATCCACGTGCTTCTGATTTGTTTTCTTCTTTAACAATTTTGTTTCATTGCTGTGAGCATGCAAAAGTTTCCTTCGTTGTTTAGCTTTGAAAAGTTCTATCACTAAAAGTGTAGATAACAGCACTAGAAGGATACATGGAATAAGTTTGAGAACGATTCCGTAAACATAGAAACTTATATCTCTGAAAATAGTGTTTCTGTAGCTAGTTAAATACATAGTAATGTTTTTAATGTCACTCATATCGCTAACCCGAGTTCTATTAAGTACAATTGTCCCATTAGCCATTTGAAAAGCCTCTCGTTCATTAATGTTCATCGATACTAAAAGCGGAATGCAAACACAAGCACAAAACACATAAGTACACACTATCGTATATTTAGTTCGGGACTCGTCACACCAATCTTGGTTGTTTTGTGGAAATTTTACGGCTATATACCGCCAAACGGCTAGAATAATAGCCAAACTACACGATATAAAATGGAACGCATTTGTGAAAACAGCGTGGAAAATGAGAAACGACGCAAAGTTGTAAGTGAAGTAATAAGAAGTGCCTTTATCTTGGAGATACGAGAAGGGCATATATTCAAGCATAACTATAACATCCGCCGTTGCTAGAGCTTTAAGAATATAATTTGTAGGAGATTTCATTTGTCTGGTGCTCAAAATATATATATTTAGTCCGTTCAAAATGGTGCCGAGGGTGCATATGATAAAACTTAGGTAAATGTGCCAGCTGCGGAAATCTTTGCTGAATTGCTTCAGGTCACAAAATGTTGCGTTCGGGCTCATTTTTTAGGCTGGATTGGATCCTAGAGAATTTGTCACTGATGAGGTTTCGAGCATTTTCTCGTTCGTCACCTGAAAATAAACAAAAAAGTTGTCTAAGTGTTTGTAATACAAAGAGGCATGTTTCAGAGAATGGAGAAAATTTCCACAGTTATAAGGCTAATTCAATTAATATAGTCATACAAGGGAAGAATTCAAAATAGGCTCAGTTTGATTGTGTGGGTTCTTATACCTTTATATCTTTATATAGGCAAATGTGGTAAGAGTAATTTTACACCAAAATACCGCGAAACTGGCTGCCGGATAGTTCAGGCTGAATCAGCGACAATTAAAAATGTCACTATACCTCATATTTTGATGAGTTATACACACCCTTAAATACCATTTCTAGACTAGAACACTCTAACCCAAACTTATAGAAAGTAACAATTTACCCGAAATAACCCAATGTTAAACAAAATACTCCATTTGAAAGAAAAGCTTGAGAATAAAAATATATAATTTACCTTATTTACCACAACTTTGAGTATAGATTTAATTGATGTGATAGCAGGTCAACAGGTTAACAGTCTCTTATTCTTTAGAAAGGATCTCCAACATCCGCTTAGAAACTTAGATCATATATGTTATTCACATATGGATACAGCAATCCCCTCTGAAATAACATACGTTCCTGTTTCCAACACGAAGACGTGCTTTTTTCCATTTATCTCTTTCATAGCCTCATGAATGATATAAATTTATCTCTCTTTTGTTTCACCGTCTGAGCATGCGCAGTTAGACGTAATAACATACGTCTTTGCTAATTTACTCAAGTTTCAACATTGCCAAATTGATTAATATTGTATAAGCTTTGATATTTCTTCACATTTCCCCTAATTATAAAATTGTTTGCTAGAAGCAAAATCACATAATAAAAATAGCATTTATTTTAGATTTCAAGATATTCAAGATTCAAAAGTAAATAAATATCAATTATTTTATTGTAGTAGGTATTCTTATTGAAAAAATGATTTGGCAACATTGGCAACCCGCGCTTGATTGTCGATTGTTTTGATTTCTGCGTTCTGCCGGTTTTGCCATTTGCTTTCGATATTTCGTATAGAGTAATATACATTCTCAGTTAATTTTAAAATCAATTGCAATAGAGCAACTCTGCCAGTAAAAACAAGCAAAAAAAGCCAAACGTATCTAGAAACACTTGGTAGATACCTATATGTATATTTTATTCACTTATCAATCACTTGCATAGCATAATTGAAATATGAGAATAGAAATCACTCTGCAGCATTTTTTGAACTGTAAACAATACTATTTTTCCACCAGTTTGAGTTGTCAGTAAATCAATATAATATATTATAAAAATTCCATCAAACTCTCCTTCTCCTTACACAGAGTAAATGTAAACAAATGAACTTAACCTCATTTTTTCTCTGTCACTTTTCCAAATTTGCGGCCAATAAGAGGCCATGCAAGACAAAAGAAAGATAAAGCTCACAGGAGATCTGCGTGTTAAACAAAGAAAGACGATTTAAGCATGTCGGATATGTTGTCAACATAATTGCTGGCTTTCGCTGTATCCATATGTGAATAACATATATATATGATCTAAGCTTAGAAATAAAGGTACCTACCAAACTACCAACTATTGTCAGATTCACCAAAACTAAATTGTTCCTTCCTATTGATATTATGCGAACATACTATTTATATATCAAATCAATATCATGAAAACCTGAAAGATTGTTTTTCTCAAGGAAATCCCGTTTTGTTCTCGTGAGATTAATAGATTCAACATTCAAGTTTGACTTTATTGACTTGAATAATATACAAGCCATCTTGTGTCAGTTAACAACCAATTTGTTTTCAACCTTCCTCTCTCTAGCTAAATTTACTACCGATTCGAGGTCGGTGCGGTTTAAGACAATAATGCAAATCGTTGACATAATATATTCTGAACGACAAGGGTCCTAGTAAAGTTTATCCAAGTATAGATTTCTCCCTCTGTGACATAGGTACGCAATATCGCCAGGCCACTTAAGTGGATATACGACTCAAACAAAGGTAATTTCCTAAGTCGTAAGTGTGCATATTAAACTAATCGAGTTAATAGATATATCTGTCCGATGTAATTTTTTTTATAAAGAGGCATTTCATCGCTGCGGTTTTTCCGCAAATACATTTCCTTCCAAAGAACAATTACATAACTATAAATATTTGAGATTGACAAGCTATAATTATTTGAAACTTTGGCCAAATAGGAAAAGAATTGATCAACACAAAAAACCTTATAGTCCAGGATTATTAGGAGTGCCAAGACAAAATTTTTCATAACCAGCTAAAAATTGGTATACCATGTTCGATTTTTGTCTGAAATAATTTGCTAAAACTCTCCGCGCCCATTCAAGGGTACGCGCTGCTTTCTGGGTAAGCGCCTTAGCCGGCCTACAGTGAAAGTACTGACTACTGGCAACGCTACTGGCATTTCTATGTAAAGCGAACGTCATGAAAGCGAACCAAAATGTGTGCACAGTGCACATACATATCATAGTTCAAGTTCATAGAGCAATGTAGACAATTATTGAACTAATAATTATTCTCCCATGTTTTATAAAGCTCTATCAGAGAATCAAAGAAATGATTTTAGATACATTTCATAAACAAGTAAGTTTGTGATAAAGAAGTCGGAACAAATTCAGTAGATATAGAGCTGAATTGAGTGATCCAAGACTGATGATTGTCTAGTATCAGCTATAGTTTTCCACGGCTGGTCATATGGTAGTTTATCCAGTTTTTTCTATTTCACACCTCATGCGTCTAGTTTTTTCTTGTCAGAGCCTCTGGCCATGTTGCTTTTTTTGATTCCTGTCATGGTCTTGAATTTAGGACCCATCTTCTCTACCTTCCATTATTCATTCGAGCCACATGATAAGATATTCTTTTAATAGCATTGGTGATTTTTTTTCCAATCTTCTCGTTAGGGAGCCTATCTCTCAAAGAACATTTGCTCCTCTATCAAAATAGAGTAGCTATATTATTCCTAACCAATAGCAATGGTCTTTACCTTAATATTTATATAAATTGATGAATACGAAAGAATTTTCTCTCCAGAAAATCACATTAGGTATAATTTCCATTTTATTGATTGCAAAGAAGTGTTTCCTGAACTTGAGACATAATCTATGTGTTGATTAAATGTTAAATGAGAGTGTTTTTCTGTAAAGTCGTGGAAGGCGTGTTTCGGGCATACGGACGAGTGAATCTAATGTAATGCTTTACAATAATAAACATTTGTGTTTAATTGATTACGCTTTATTCAACAAAACGTTTATTCAATAAGAATGCAGATTTTTTATTCTCTACATTTAATTTTTTCCGTATCTTTCACATTTGGATTGGTAGTCCTAGGGTCTAGCTAGAGTCTAGAGCAGTGGTTCCCAAACTTTTTTAACCTACCGCCCACTTTTAGAAAATGGGAATTATCCAGCGCCCCCCTTGGCAGGGATCCAGGATATTGAAGCGGCGCCTTTTTTTGAAAATTTTCATTAGACCGAATATAGAAATTTTGAATTGTTCAAAATTTTTGACAAAAGTACAAGTCGTGTTTCAGATCGCTGCGTGAAATTTAAAAAAAAAAAGTGGTTTTCTTGGAATTTTGAAAGTCGAGAAGGGCATTAAATTATTGGGAAAGTTATAGTGATCGGACTGAAGGATTTTTTTGGACATAGAACGATGAGTGGAGAGAGATTTATGGGATAATGGTATAACTTTGACTTTTGTGAAATTATTGAAATATCAAACATCAAAAAAAAATAAATAAAAATAGTGACAGCGGCTAGTTTTAAGAAGAACGTTCACTAATAGAATTCTCCGACGTTGTCAGGTATGTTTGAATTTTAATGTCTGAAGTATCTCTTGATTCCCAAGAATCAACCTTTTCAAATTACAACGTACCAAAATATCCACAGGATAATAAATTTTCAAACTATATTAAATTTTGGAAAATTCTTCCTCAAGATCTGCGAGATGCCGGCCCGTCCAATGATAGGAATCAAGAATTCTCTCTGGATTTTTCCGATAAAATGTCCCAAACTTCTCCAGCTTCTCGATCAATTTTGCAAAAGGATAAACAATTTTTCTGTTCCTCTTGCGAAAAATGGTTCAAATCTTTAAGAGGTCTTAATATTCATAAATCCAAATCCCATTCTTTTCAAAAGCAGAGACAAGTCAACGATAACATTTCTTCTGCTAATTCTCAACAAAAATCATCATTGAAAAATAAATCAGTAGAAATTCGATGCAATTTTTGCAACAAACGCTTCAAAACACAAAAAGGGATAAATCAACATGTTACTATAAAACACATAAATGCCTCCACTAATAATACTAATGAACATAATATTTTGGATTCATTTTCAATAAATTCTCTACTCACCAAATTGAAATCATCAAGATCGGTTATCAAAAGAATTCCGAAAGGAGCACGAACTTGTATATCT